ATACAGATACAAAAATTAGTTGTCAAGAATCAGTTGTCATAAATTAAACAGAGAAATGAGCCGATACAAGAAAATAACAAATGACCAAAGCTTCTGTCCATTTTGTCCAAACATGATTGAAAATTAGTACCATTTTATAATGGATTGTACACTCTACAATGATAAGCGCCTATTGCTGTTCACTTTTCTTTCCGCTTGTTCAATTGATTTCAATATGTTAGATCCTATAGATCTAACATTCTCAAGGGAGATAACTAATACAGTGTTCAAATGGGAAAATACATTAAAGAATGTTTCGATCTCAGATACCACATGTTAGAAAATAGTTAAACCTTTATTGTTACCGCATACATATATTCTGTACGTATGATGACGTCATCCAAACATGAATTTAGCTTTGTTAGATCTTTTAGTTGTAGACCATACAAAAGTCCCTGTACTTTTTTGTTGTGTCAATAAAGAATCTCTACAATAAAGCCTACATAAAAGCTAAAACAGGACCGTTACTTCCATCTAGACAGCCCTGACATTACAGTGTGATATTGTGGTCGGCCACTAAATTATTCATGAACAGGTGTGTTTGCAACACTCCCTACAAAAGACTGTTGTGTAAAACTTAATGTAGTGTATGAAACCTAGGAGCTTTCCATCTAGACGGCCCTGACACTACAGTGTGATATTATGGTTGGCCATACCTTCATGCCAGGCTCTACCACTGCCCGTCCATTCACCCTGTCCATTATATGATAATTACATCTCTGCACAATAGCTCTGTATAAAAATACTTGTGAAAAACTTAATCTAGTGTATGAAACCTATGACTACAAAGGGCCTTTTTATATGACCGGGTGAATGACCGGGTGAATGAATGGGCAGAAACACGGCCTGGTATGAGGCTGGATACCATTTTCACATTCATATTTAGGTTATACTACTTGTTTATTTACAGTGTGTTACGTATACACATGTGTTAATAGAAGAAGTCAACATATTTACAAACATACATAAATAGGCTTAAGTATAAAAATTATCATATTCTGGTCATTTTGCTTCTTTCTTTTCGTTGTAAAATGCATAAGGAATTGGTTTTAGCTAAAACCAGTCAATGAAAACAGGCTTTTGTATGTTTCTGCATGCTTCGTTTAATTCTAGGAGACTTGACACGTTTTTATAACTTCTGGATTTGATATTGTCTTCCGTTTATGGTCTAGTGACTAGGTAATATAATATTAACAATAAAAATTGGTGTTTACAAGCTAGCAATGGATAATTTTTTGTAAACCGTACTAATAAAAATATCTTTTTTAGCATTCTGTAATTGTCCTGACACTATTCAACTGTGTTTCTTGCCTTGGAGTGTTATAGTATACTATAACGACCTTAGTAGTTTAGTCCACACTCTGTGTAATGATAATAGAACCTGCATATTATGTATACAACTCCTCATTGTACTCTTTAGGAATATAGTATAGCGTAGCTTAGATATGTGTAGAGGTGTAGCTCTTAGTTAGTTCTATTCAACATTTTGCCAGACATGATACCTGTTGAAATTATATGTAGAATCTTGAAAGACTCATACCAGGGGCAAAATCCACCCTGCCCCACGACGTGAGAGACGGGGGCATGACCAACAGATTGCACAACTCTGGGGCAGGACTCAGTATAGAGCAGCGTCTTTCCTGCCACGGACAGTTAAAGACTGGAACTCTCTACCTCAAACAATAGTGGAAGCCACAAATACTTAAACATTTGTGGCAAGGGCATCTAAATTCTTGACTGGTGACCTCCCCTAAGTGACAGAATGATCGACATGACGATAGCGGTCACTCAGAGGAAGAAGAAGAAGAAGAAGCTTTATCATCACATACCATACATTATACCTGTTACAGTCGTTGGGCAAGAAACTTTGATTTTACTTAATATATTACATGACGGCTGGATAGATAGCTAGATACACAAACACAAAGAGGTTTTTTTGGTACAAGGACAAACCTTTTATTGTGTATGCATGCATACTGATACCACAGGGTCCAAAGAAAAAAGGTAGAACCCAGCACCATTTACTAATATGCATTGTGAAAACAGCACAATATAGATTGAAGACTACATAAGAGCCAGAAACGGGACCATTATTTTTCAATCCAGACGGCCCTGACATTACAGTGTGATATTGTGGTCGGCCACTAAATTATTCATGAAAAGGTGTGTTTGCAACACTCCCTACAAAAGACTGTTGTTTAAAACTTAATCTAGTGTATGAAACCTAGGAGCTTTCAATCTAGACGGCCCTGACACTACAGTGTGATATTATGGTTGGCCATACCTTCATGCCAGGCTCTACTACTGCCCGTTCATTCACCCTGCCCATTATATGATAATTACATATCTGCACAATAGCTCTGTAAAAGGCTGTAAAAAACCTTAATCTAGTGTATGAAGCCTATGACAGAGCTATTGTGCAGAGATGTAATTATCATATAATGGACAGGGTGAATGAACGGGCAGTAGTAAAGCCTGGAATGAAGGTATGGCCAACCATAATATCACACTGTAATATCGGATTCTATAATATCACTATAATATCACATTACAGTGCGATATTATGGTTGGCCACTACATTATTCATGAAAAGGTGTTATTATGGTTGGACATATCTTCATGTCAGGCTTTACTACTGCCCGTTCTTTCATTTTTTTTTATATTCACAAGACGTGGTGACGGCACACTCAAGTTTTTTTCAGGGGACAATACAATACTCATTTTCACCTGAGCGAAGAGAGGAAAGTCGTGTAAAGTGCGCATGCCTTCCCAAGGACACAAGATCGGTGGCATGTCAGGACTCGACACCACTCGAACCCGAGACCTCTTGGTTCCTAGTCGAGCACTCTGCCGCTACGCCACACGACCCCACCAATGCCCGTCCATTCACCCTGCCCCATTATATGATAATTACATCTCTGCACAATAGCTCTGTAAAAGGTTTTTTGGAATCATAGGTTTCATACACTAGATTAAGTTTTACACAACAGTCTTTTGTAGGGAGTGTTGCAAACACACCTTTTCATGGATGATTTAGTGGCCAACCATAATATCACACTGTAATGTCAGGGCCGTCTAGCTATAGACTGAAAGCTTTGTTGTTTCTGGCTCTTATGTAGGCTTCAATATATATTGTGCTGTTTTCACGATGCATATCAGTAAATGGTGCTAGGTTCTACCTTTTTTCTTTCGACCCTCTGCTATCAGTATGCATGAAATGATGAATACACAATAACAAGTTTGTCCTTGTACAAAAAAA